TTAAAGCATTACATATTTATCCGCAAACATCTGCTTTAATTCGTAGCTATTTTTCTTTATTGCAATTATATTTAAAACTGCTAGGTAGGTATTCGATGTTTAACGTACAAAAATTACCGTTTGATAGCCTTCAACTTGATGTTGATATGTTTCTACACGCTACAAAAGAACTTAGTATTTTTACGACCTTAACTAATACTAAGCATTGATTAAATTTGATTTGTTTTTTAAATTAATTTAGTTTATAGTTTATCATCAACATCATCATTTCAGCCTGTTTCAGTCCACTGCTGAACATAGGCTTCCCCCATAGATTGCCACGAAGTACGATCCTGAAACACCTGCATCCATCGACTTTCCGCAAATTTGCACAGGTCGTCACTCCATCTAGTCAATATTTTTTTGGCTAATCAAAATCAAATTCAAAAACCAATTTAAACGTAAAATTAGAAGTCAACTTATGGTTAAAGCAGATATTCCGTGATGGTATAATATACCATCACGGAATATCTCGACGACACCAATGTGTGGAGTTAATACTGTTGATACTCACGTAGGCTAGAATAAGACTATTATACCGGTATTATATTGTACCCTGATATTTTTGAAAAAGAGCAACTGTTGAGTTTCTTGCCGGTCTCTTCTCAACAGAAACCGCTTTCCGAACCGGTGGTACCTTACGAACCTATACACATAATCTTTGATGTAAAATTTGACGATTCATAAGAGCGCGCAAGAGTCTATTTGAATAAATATATTTATATATTTTTGATTTTGTACAAATTATTTATTATACAATATTTATATGTAATGTTTGATGAACATAATGTATATACATTCATAGTATTATTTATTTACTAAAGAAAAGTATGTTTATTATTTATATAGCATCCATAGCACAAGCATAGCTTAATTAGAAAGATAATGTTCTGTTATAAGGACACTGAAATATTTAGAACATTTCATTAGGAAATCCATCAAATTCCTAACTATAACATAATAAGAATAATGCAGTGATAAGCACCATAAAATGTAAATTTTAAAGATAACAATGTTTTTTTTTACACCATGTATTTTTCTTCAGGAGATCACTCATTATATTGCTTTCGATGAGAGAATGATTTCCATTTGAGGATTTCTGAAGGCGGAACTTTCACTTCGGAAGAATTTAATTAAAGAATCGCGAGAGAAGCCGTCGTAATTAAAAGTGCGCTCGCTGATGTTAAAGGAATTATTTTAGGATATTATATAATCTTGGTTGCAAAAATTTTTACTTCTTTTAGCGCTCGATGGAACAGTGATGACTATAATTTTTTACAGTGCACGGCACCTACAAACTTTTTGAAAATTACCTTTAATTTCAAGTTAATTATTTAAATCTTATCATTTGCATTCACGGTCGTGATACCTCAGTGTCCGGGCGCTTACCATTAATTCAATATTTTCGAACAACCTGAGTTTGATCCGCGGTGCCGGCACTAATGAAATTGTTAATTTTTAGTTATTAACCTTTCAATGTGTAAATCAACATTATTTACAAATAAATATATGGCACCAGCGCACCGAAACTAAGACACCCAAATAACACCAATTGGGTAATTAGATTGTAATTCACTAGACTGTTATCTCTTTCCGTATGATATTTTCTGTATCATCTGTCACATTTTTTTTTTATGCGAAAAGTTGTCAAACGACCAGACGGTTCACCTGATGTTAAGCGAATACCGCCGCCCACGGAGATCTGCTACACCCGAGGGTTACAGATGCGTTGACAACCTTTTTAAAATTGGGCTCCGGCTACCTCACTCACCAGACGAAACGCGAAAGTATTTGTCATACTTCCACTTTACGCTGGTCATCTGTGAGGTCGTGGTACTTACCCGGACAGAACTGCTCATTCGTGCAACAGCCGAGGCTGATGCGTGGCCCTACCATCGTTAAATTATATAATGTAAAGCGGAAAAAATTTTAAGCGTCGTCACGCAGTATGCACATGCTTCATCTTTATTAAAACCACATTGATGTTCATTACAAGAACTTCTGATAAATTGCTTTATTAATTAATACTTTTTGGTTTGAATAATTCAAACTATTGTGGATTTTCTTACAAACTGACATAACTAATTTAAGATTAACCTGTATGCAAATGTATGTACTCCATCCATTTATTTTGCGTTTTTAATGAATATAGCGTACTTGAGCTACCATTTACTTACCCAAATAGAAAGCCGACAGCAAAGAAGAAGTTATTTTACTTAAAGTGCATTTACGTGCTCAACGTTGAGGGGAAACCTTCGTTTCTGAGCAATATAAGTAAGCATTTTACACACACGTGACGTCATCTAATCCAAGGTGCCACCTCACGTGGGGCTTTAAACGCTCAAGAGATAAAAGCTCGGAATTTCAAAAACTGTAACATTGTCTTTTCAAGTAAAAAATTTCACAACAAAAACCTATAGCGTTCATATCAAATGTCATTATTTACTCTGTAATTTAAATTAACATTTCCGTGATAAAGACTAACTCTTAAAAATGGTAAATATTATAAAAAAATATCTGTTCATATTTTAACATGTGTCAAATTTCTCTTAATTTTCTCTGCCTCACGAAGTTTCTATCTCCATGTATCTATATATAAAGCTAGGCTTATGTAATAACATAATAACGTAAGTAGATAAGCCTAGGTTTCTACATACATACGTTGAGATAATAACTCTTGTGAAATGTCACAAGAGTTTTCCGTGTTATACCGTTCGCGTACAGGCCGACAACTTGACAGAAGTGGAGCAATAAAGGATTGAGGAATGCTGCGATTATTTGCAAAGTTTTGCGGTGAAATTTTTCGCTGTAAAAGTTTACAATACACGTTTGCGATTTTTTTTAATATGAGAAGACTGAGATAGTGGTTCACCTGACGCTTAGTGATTACCGCCACCCATGGAGATCTGTAACACTCGTGGAATTGCAGAGGAGTAAGCACCGTTTGGAACGGTGGGCCCCGGTTGGGCTCGGCAGAATCGCTTCAACTTTGACTTCAAGCCGGTCTTTTATGAGGACGTGGTACTTCCTCCGACGAAATTATCTATTCGTGCATATTCGAAGGCTGCATGTCCCAATTACTACTCCAACCTGCGAAAGAGAGCTATTCGAGCAGTTTATAACCTGGGCCCCAAAGATTCGCTAAGAAACTTGTTTAAAAAATAAAAATACTGACTGTGGCTTCTCAGTACATACTTGCAAATGTTATGTATGTTCACAAAAATAAGAATGACTCTTCAAGATTTAGTAATGTGATGTAAATACTAGGAACAAGCATAAATTAGGTCTACCCTCAACTAGACCGCGTAGAATAACTAAATATTTTATGGTACAATGTACATACGCTTTTACAACAAAATCCCAGATAACGTTCAAAATGAATCCGTTGCTAAATACAAAAAAACTTGTAAAGGAACGTCTGTGTGTTAATACCTATTATAGTATTAGTGATTATTTGAATGATAACACAATCTGGAAATGAATTGATCGCTCCAGGCTCTTTCAAGTGGAATTTAATAAATTGTACACATACTTGTAATTTTTTCGTCAAAAACGCCGGTTCTTCTTTTGACTATCAATAAGTAAGTGTATGCTTCTCTATTGAATAAAGATATTTGACTTTATCACAGTTGCAAACGATGCATACTGAAAACCTTAGTATGCTTTATAATTTACGTAGTGTAATGTAGTTTACGTTATAATGTATCATATGTTAAGGATCGATTTTACTAGATGGCGCTCAAGTTTAATTCACGCTATCGTTTGATTGTTCTACTAGAATATGACAAACTGTTATATTCCTGGCTCTAATAGGATATTTAAATTATTAAACTCTAATAGGACATTCAAATTAATTTTAGTTTGACACTGAGCCGTGTTTAATTGTCTCGTCTATACAATACTTGTATGTAATACAGATGACGAGTGTGTTTATTTGTTTACAATTCAACTTGATGCGTAAGTTGCAAGTGTAATGAATACTGAAATTAAGAAACGGGAGAAGTGGCCTGACGATCAATTTAAAATTACCCGTGCAACCCGATTTTAAATTCCAGTATCAAAAACTGACATTGTTAAATGCAATGAAAAAATGTCTAAGATACATGTAAAGTCTGTCTTTCGACAACGCGACCGAATGGTGACAATATTATGGACCTTTGCAGTGAAGTTTCATACATGTATAAAGGATATAACAATAGATGGCGCCGAGCACTGCTTCAAATGCTAAGAAAACAATGTAGAAGTATGCGTTAAGATTTTCGTCGGTGTGGCAATCAGCCGTTTAGCTCAGTGGCTAGAGCGTCAGGCCGCGAATGCCGTAGACGTGGGTTCGATTCCCATAACGGCGAGAATCTTTTCGCACTTTTTCTACATATTTTAATGTTCAAAGATTAGCACTATAAACAATTTAAATTTTTGAGTTTTTTTCGTTCGTAAAATGAGTTCGATACCGCACTTGAATGTACTGTTTAGCTTAAGAAACATTCAAAGCTGAACTTTTCTTTTGGTATTATCGTCATTTTTAAACGCAATTAAACTTTTCGAACTCTACGTGCGCTCGCTTATAATACAACAACCTTTAACACAACATTTTTCAATTTTACTCTCATAGAAAATAAATGTGTTGCGCAGTTCCGTTACATATTTTCCTCAAATCACACACACAACTTCCCCATTTACACTTTATTGTGTGCTCACAGAACACTGGCGTAAAGTGTAAGTGTTGACCTTTTGCGTTTCGTCTGGTGAGTGCGGTAGCCGAGGCCCGCTTTATTTAAATGTAGCCACGCATTTGAAATCCGGGAGGCGCTTATTACTTAACATCAGATGAAACGTCGGCTCGTTTGCCACTTTATCACATCAAAAAAAATATCAATCAGTCATTTATTAGCCATGTGTTACAGCTGTCATGTGTTACAATTAAGAAGTATATATTAAATTGTCGTCCCCTCTCTCCTCAGGAGGTGTTTGGTCCCTGCGCAACCTCTCCATTTCCGTACCCCGAGCAGTCCTGTCTGGTGAGGGCCAGTCTGCGCTGCTCAGATGCTCCTACGACCTGGAGGGCGCGGCTCTGTACTCGATACGCTGGTACAGAGCTGAGGATGAGTTCTACAGATACGTGCCGAGGGAGATGCCCCCTACTATGGTGTTTCCGCTACCAGGGGCTTCCGTTGACGTAAGGGATTTTTAATGCTAATTGCTAAATGGTTCGCTATACAGACTGTACCACTGACAGGAACTTTTGTCAATAAAAGGGATTTTAATGCTAATGATATATTGTCAAAGGATTCGTTATATAGATTCTTGATTAACAGCAGTTTCTGTTGATATAAGGGATTTTAATAATAATAATATACCGTTAAATAATTCACTACACATACTCTATCGTGATAAATTCTAGTTTTGATTCTCTTGACCATGAATTCGGCAAAGAATTGAAATTCAATCATAAAAACTTTATAGTTATATTTAATAGTGTATAGTTTTCACTTCAATACAAGATAACATTATGGTAATGATTTTACTATGAGTTTTCTTGCTCCTAATTCTAAAGTTTTCCTTTCAAGACCTTAACATTTTTAGGTGTAGTAACAATGTATTTATGAAAAAAATTCTCTGAAAAAAAAAAATTAAAAGCAAAAAAAAAGGGTTTTTGCTAATCAATTCAATAATTAGTTTCGAATAAATACAGATAATCCGTAAAAGGTTCGTGGCATTATATTTTATTGAACTACAACATTGATTATTGTTCAATCAAAAACTAACTAGTAACTTTAAACTATCAACTAAATTGAGTTTCGTTTAAATTTCATATAGTAGTATTAATTAAGTTACAAAAATATGAAGTCGTTGCCACCCGGATTCAAACTAAGATACAGTTGTAACGTACCAGACAACATTGCCTCAGATAAAATTGAATCTTGCGTTTCATCATGGTCATAAATAGTAATAAAGATGTTAATTATAAATGGGCGTATATACCGGTTGGGGGCTCGCTTCACACCTTTGATTAGCTTTTTCGCTCTAATAATTCCCAGAAATGTGCCTAAATTGAAGCGTCGACGCCTATGCTACAACGTAAATTATTCATGAAAACATTAATTAAACTGAATCATATGAAAGTGGGCTTGTTTCACACACAAAATAACTTAAGGTATTTATTTTGTAAAGTATCGCGCATTAAAAATGATTTGCAATTAAATAAATGTTATTAAATATTAAGAGCCGTGATAGCTCAGTGTCCGGGCGGTCGCTTTTAATTAGATATAGAGCAACCTGAGTTCGATCCCCGGTGCAGGCAACAATGAAATTGTTAATTTTAAGTGCTGGTTTCGGCTAGTTTCAGCAGTGAAGGAAAACATCGTGAGGGAACGTGCATATTTTCGAAATAACAAAAAAAAAATATTTCTAAGATATGTGAAGTCAGAGCCGTGATAGCTCAGTGTCCGGGCGCTCGCCTTTAATTCAATATACTCGAGCAACCTGAGTTCGATCCCCGGTGCCGGCACCAATGAAATTTTTAACTTTAAGTGCTGACTTATCACGTGCTCCGCGGTGAAGGAAAACATCGTGAGGAAACCTGCATAGTTTCGAAATAATAACAAAAAAAATATATTTCGAAGATATGTGAAGTCCGCCAATCCGCAGTGGGGCAGGGTGGTGGACTATCCCCTGATACTCTCTGTATAGAGGAGGCCTTTGCCCAGCAGTGGGACATGTATAGGCTGTTACTTTACTTTTTTTTTAATGTGAAGTCCGCCTATCCGCAATGGTGGATTATGCCCTGATACCTTCTGTATAGAGGAGGCCTGTGCCCAGCAGTGGGACATGTATAGGCTGTTACTTTACTTTATTTTTTTTATTAAATATTGAATTATTAGTATTATTAGTATAGATAACCCATGTATCTTTCATCATGGTGATACCACTGCGTTATAAGCATAAGAAGCGGAAGTTGGTCGCATCCTTAGCGACCAACGTTTGAATGAATTGAATGATTAGAGAATGTAATAATTAAAATGCAAGTGTGAATGGAATGGCTAATCCAGTTATCACTTAACATCAGATAAACCGCTAGTTCGTTGTCACCTTCACACATAAATAATAAATAAATAGAAAGAATTCTTTGCAAATGGCTTTTCAATGTCATTTCGTAACTTTAAAATGGTGTATATACTGAAACATGACCATCGCGTTCATAAAATTATTAGAAATTTTGTCTTACGATTTATTTAATCCTATAAAGCTACATTACCTGTAAGTCCTAATAATGAGGCTCGTACTTTTGGATTTTCATAGTAAGCTGGTGTTACCTAATCAGGAGTATATTCATAAAGATAAATATTCGGGGCTACGGGATTCAAACCTAGGTCTTCCGAGTTACGCACCGAAGACCTAAGACTAAGACCTCACTGCGACTACCTATCTACTCACACCTATCTACTTTATTGCATTTATTTGCAACTTTAAAGCATGCAAACACTTTCCTAAAGTCATTATTTTCGAGCACATAGCCTTTTACTATCAAATTCATTACTTTACATGGATACAATAATCATCTGAGGCGTTACAGCCGCGGGTGGGCCTTAGCCTGGTCAAGCAAATGTCTCCAGTCCGATCTATTCACGGCTTTGTTTCGCCAGCCTATAACCCCCAACATCTTGGTGTCCGTGACGCCATCCAACCACCTGAGCTTGGGCCTCTACTCCGTTTTTTTTTTTATGCGAAAAGTTGTCAAACGAGCAGACGGTTCACCTGATGTTAAGTGAATACCGCCGCCCATGGACATCTGCCACACCCGAGGGTTACAGGTGCGTTGACAACCTTTTGAAAATTTGGCTCCGGCTACCTCACTCACCATACGAAACGCGAAAGTATTTGTCATACTTCCACTTTACGCCGGTGTTCTGTGAGGTCGTGGTACTTACCCGAACGGGCCTGCCCATTCATGCAACAGCTGAGGCTGCTGCGTGGCCCTACCACCGTAACTCCTGCGGTGAATACAATAATGATAAAGGAAAATTGAATGTAGGGTTCATTCAAAGGTAAACATAGCATGAATGAGATAAAACGTAAGCCCAATATGTAATTTTAATTACTCGCATAATACACCATTTATGAGCTTTATTATAAGGCATTTATAAGCTTATCAAATTGAGATGTATTCATCATTTTGATTACCATTGTATACGGAATTACATAAACGGTTTCGAAAGCTGTCGCCAAGCCATACTTCTTTCCAGACGCTAAAATTATTCGCATAACCCACGCACGGTTTATAATGATACTGAATTCGCGTCCGGCCTTTGCCTCCGTAAATAGCGGGCTAATTAATTTCCCGCTGGGGGTTAAGTGTGGGAGAAAATGCAGCCAACATTCTTGGCACTTTGCCGCGAAGAAAAAAAAATGTTCCACGATTTATAATAATTATGGCAATTAAACTTTTAAGTGCATCGAGTATTACATTACGGGCCAAATACCATGTTACGTTTTTAAATTTTAAAAACGGTAAATATTTTAATGGAAAATTAAAATATTAATGGATGATTAAAATATTTAGTGTAATGAAATAGCAACTATTTTACCGGATTTATTGCATTAATTTTTACCATGAATTCTTGAAATTTCGAATACTTTGCAGCATCCATCCACGGTGGCTCAATATTATTAATTACCCATTATATATGCGATCACTTTTTACCTCGTTAGGGTTAAAAAGCTTAAAGTCTAATATCTCTCTATAAAATTTGTTAAAAATCGGTCGAGCCGTTTCGGAGTTCAAGTTCGAACCCCATGACACGAGAATTTTGTATATTAGATTATTTTATGATACGGACAGAAAAATTTATGAATAAGCAAATGAACGTTGACCCATTTTATACCCAACCAGCAGTTTCCAAAGTAATCCTTACTAAAGACTACTTCAATGGATAACTTTGTAATACAAATATTTTGTTAGCTTTAGTGTAACTTTTTCTATATTTTAGTTCATGTTAAACTTTACTCTTTTATACTCTAATCATTTATTGTTTATATTTATTTTGTTTTCTCCAAAATGTGAAAACGTGTAAGTGGCTTCTTCAGCGCTTTAAATCAATTAATAATTATCATTGCTAATAGGTGTAAGTTTTCGCAAATAAAATAAAATAATTTATTACATCAGCGCTGGCGTACCAGCTCTGATATAAAAAAAAATATTTTATTCTGTGACTTCAGTTCATCAGTATTGTACCTTGGCTTATTAAATACTTTATTTGATAAGATTAATTGGACCTCAAACAAGACGCAATTATATAAATGAGCGCATTAGTACGTTTCCAGTGGCCTCGGGATACGAGCGTTCTTGATATCTCTATATGCGTACAGTAAATTACTGGCGGAAAAGATTTTTTAAAAACACTCAAAAATCTCATTCGGTTTTTAGGGATCCGTACTCCAAGGGTAAAACGGGACTCTATTGCTAAGACTTCGCTGTCTGTCTGTCTGTCTGTCACCAGGCTTTATCTCATGAACCGTGATAGTTAGTCAGGTGAAATTTTCACAGATGTTGTATTTCTGATGCCGCTATAACAAAAAATATTAAAAAACAGAATAAAATAATATTTAAGTGGGGCTCCCATACAACAGAATATATGATTTTATTTGTTTTTATAGATAATGGTGACTCCGTGGTGCAGATGCTAAGGTATTGCCTTCGGCGTTGGGGGTCGTGGGTTCGATTCCCACACGGGAAAACTGTTTGTGCGACCCACAGATAGTTGTTTCGTATCTGGGTGTTTGTCCTCTTGCAATTTATGTTTGTAAAACGTCCTTACGACACAGGACAATGTTATCGTAAATTGAGGGCAACGTTTAAAAAAAAATGGTACGGAACCCTTCGTGCGCGGGTCTGACTCGCATGTGGCCGGTTTTTGTAAATGTTACGAATGTACTTTCGAATGGATGCTTGTATCCTGATTTTTTACAACTGCTGCTCTTTATGCTGACGATTTACAACTGTATGCTTATGCAACCTGTGACAGCCTATCCGTTGTGATCAATAACATCAACCGAGACGTAGATGCTATAAAAAAGTGGTCTGACAGATTCGGATTGACTGTCAATCCTTCGAAGTGTCAGGCAACTCTTGTTGGGAGTTGTCCTATTATAAATCAAGTACATTTAGGCAATCTTCCACCAATAATATTCAACAACTCTACGATCCCCATAAGCCAGAATGTGAAAAACCTTGGTTTGCTTATCGATATGACCCTGAGCTGGAAAGACCAAATCGCCAGTGTCAGTCAGAGGGTCACAAGTTTTCTACGCTGCCTATACAGACTTAGACATTTTTTACCATCTAAAACTAAAGCTACGCTCGTGCAGTCCTTAATCCTTCCTTTAATCGACTATGGCGACGTGTGCTACTTTGACCTGAATGCAGATCACCTCAATAAACTAGACCGTCTTCTGAATAACTGCATTCGATTCATTTTCAATCTTCGTAAGTATGACCATTATCCATTCGCCAACGCCGCTCCTTAAGAGCACTAACCACTCTTTATTCTTTTTTAAATTCTTCTTCTACTCCATCTTATTTATCGCCTCATTTTCAATATCTTAGTACAATCCATCATAAAAATCTTCGCTCGACACATAACCATCTTCTCCAATGTCCTTCTCATCGTACTGGTTTCATGCACTCGTCTTTCTTTGTTCAGTCCATTATTTTGTGGAACGCGCTGCCTCTCAAAATCAAGACTGCTAAAAGTCGCTCCGCATTTAAAAGGAAAACTCGCGAACACTTCCTTAAAAAACTGTCAGCAGATTCTCTGAATCGTTAAATATAATATAAAGTATGTATATATTATATTTATTTATATATAAAATATGAGTATGTAAGTATGTATATCTTATATTATGTATGTGTGTATGTATCGCGCATTAATATGTTTACTTTATTTTATATATATGTATGGTATTGTATAGTTTTATGAGATATTATTAGTGTAGTATTTTGTTGGTAGATTTCATATGTAATGTGCATATTTGAAAATCTTTTGATTGCTTTATTTTTTTTCTGTTGTTATAAATTTGTTATAAATGCACCTACCCTAACTTTTCTGGACCACCCTAAGGTTGACTGGGAGATAATGCTGATAGTATTAAGTCCGCCTTTGTACACAAATGTTTGTGCAAAAAGTTTAAATAAAAAAAAATAAACTGCGCGTGCTTTATTTTTTTATTACAAACTTTATATACAATGTCGGTTAAAGGTTTGCATTAATCTACTTAAGATTCTTCAGATTACAAATGTTTTCTGTCTAGTAAATTTTTCCTCTATTTTTGCAAAATTTTGGCCTTACGTTTGGATATATATCGTTCATATATCGTTTTTTCCGTTTGTTACAAAATAAGGTACAAAAAAACGCGATTAGCGTGAATCGCCCCACCTCTTTTGGCTGTACTATACTCACCACGATTGAAATTAAAATCAAGGTTGACTGATATAAGACTGACGATGACTAAAATTTCCTGTACTGGTACAAGAGTAGGGGATTATGGCAAGGGCCTATAATAAGGTACAGGAATACACTGAGGACAAGGATGTGGGGAAATTACTCTTCTAAATTAATTAAATAAGTTTGAATAATGATAGCTCAAAAAAAAGAGATAATAATACCGCAGAGTTTCTTGCCGGTTCTCCTCTGTTCAGGTATCTTCGGTGAATAAAGCCTGTATTAAATAAAGAAAGTTTGAATTTTGACTTTGAACGTTGCTCCGTAATGTAAGTAAGTGACTTTTTGTTTAGTTGGCGCAGTCCGACCACCAGCAGGTGCGAATAGTGAATATGAACCGAAGACTCAGCGGGGAATACCAGTGCGAGGTCTCGGCTGATGCTCCACTGTTCCACACGGACATACGCTCCGCCCCCCTCACAGTAGTCGGTACGTTTGCAAGCTCTTTAACATACAGTCATCATCATTGTAGTAGGGCAGATTCTGATGTTGCACGAATGGGCAGCCGCGTCCGCAGAAGTAACACTGGTAACACTGCCTCGCAGAAGACTGCGTTAAGTGGAAGTATTGTGAAGTTTCTGGTGAGCGAGGTAACCAGGTTGGAAGTTGGTAACACATCTGCAATTTCTGAGACCTGAGAAACACCTGAGTGAGTGAGTGAAAACCATCTGCAATTTCTCAGGTGTTAATCATCACCTAGTGGTTTACCTGATGTTAATCATCAGGTTAACCACCTAATTGGCAGACAACTTTTCACACAAAAATATGATAAGTCCCTATCGTTTGTCTTATCATTTTATTGTTTTGTTTCAGTTTATCGTTTAATAATAACATGACTATAATTTGGTGATCTTATATCAATAATGATAAAAAAAGTAATAGATAAACAAAGCATACAACGCTTTGTTTATCTAATACGTTTTTTACGTACTGTTAGATTTGTCGCAATAAAGATCCTTTAGATATCAAGTATAAGACATAAGACACGTCTGCTGATGTCTACATAGACTTATGTAGACATACGAGTATCTCTTATTAAATAAACGGTACCTATAATAAGCAAATTTCAAAATTCTAAAATAAAAAATGTAATGAGAACATAAATAGTAATATTTTAAAGGTTAATTTAATACGTCGCTACTAATTTAATACCCACTGCCGATCAGAGAACATATTATAGGCATGCTGCTTCATATCTTCTTCGCGAATAAGTGATAGGAAGATTTTATTGAAATACTTGCATTATTAGTTTGTGGTGAATTCGGCGTCGATAAGTTCGATTCCAAAAGTTGATAAGCGTGACAACGACAACGAAAAATACAAACTTGACAACTAGTGCGACGCAAATAGATAATTGTTCCGGACCTTGGTTTTATTCCCAAGGAGGGTTGACGTTAGGCAGGCGGTCGTAAGAAAACGTGCCCCATTGGCGGAATAAGAGCAGAAGAAAGAAAGAAGTACGGTAGTCTAGAAGGCGAAGGTCCTTATATATGAATCTCGCATCCTGTGGGCTTGTAATTGTTTTAAGGATAAAGCAGGCAAAGAAGCAAGGTCATCGTTGGTAAGCGATCACGGCCGGCATGGAAACTTGCGGCATTGGAGGATATGCCTCCATTAAACCTTCTTTATTCCACCAGCAAGAAGGCAGAAGACTGTTCACTTCATGTTAAGTGGTAACCACTACCCATGGATATTTAAATGCATTAGGGCTTGAAGATTGCGCAGACAATGTGGAACCCGGTTACCTCACAGACCAGACGAAACGATGAAGAATAATATTTCCACTTCTTCTGCGAGGCAGTGGCTCTTCCATGGGCGAGTCCCTACCACGGTTCTTTTTCTTGCTAGGTGCATAAAATTCGTGAGCATTTTATAGCTCGCCATCATTTTAATTCAAAAGTTATTTCGCACGATATAAATGCAAATGTCCAACCCTCGTAACGGGGACACGAGATAAACTCGTTTCTATTACAGACCCGCCGTTCCGAGCGCCGCGTCTGCTAATATCGCGGCTTAGTTACGCGCGAAATGATATTCTCCAAGCTAACTGCTCGGTGGACGAGGCGTATCCGGCACCAAACATCACTTGGACGGTCGACGGACATAAGGTAGGTTCTATGAAAGAGCCGTATTAGAGCCTCTGTATTCATTTTACAATTGAATTTCGGGATTTCCCTAAATATCCCCGGAACCCAAGATCCAATACCTATGAAATTAATATGGCACCACATGGGAAGCACCAGCTTTCAAATAAAAAAGAATCGTCTAAATCGGTTCACTAATCTAAAGCTCTGAGGTAACAAACAAAAAAAAAAATACAATCGAATTGAGAACCTCCTTCTTTTGAAGTCGGTTAAAAATTACAAGACTAATGGCTTACTAACAAGGAATTGCTCAGGAGCTTAAGACAAGTAATTAATTAAGTCTCGTTAATATTCCACATCGTAATTGTATGATTAAAAATACTAAATACCTCTATTGTTAACATTTTCTAATTAATGTTTTTTGACGTAAAATTAATACAATTATTTTTTTCTTTTGTCTCTTTTAAAAAACATTGCCATTACTTAATTTTTAAGTTAACTATGTTTCACTTTCAAATTATCAATCGCATTCATTAATCTTGCGAAAGTAGTGAACTAGAGCAAAGTATTATCTGGGTAGAGCCATAAACTTTGCTTAAACATTGTAACTTTAATTGGACCTCCAGACAGACTCACCCCGCGACATACTAACTATTAACAGCCAAAGTATAGGAGCATTTCACCTTTTTTTGGTGACATCGTTAGTTTAACCACCCTACTAATATTAAGACCGCTACAATACTTTCTAACAATATTCACATTTTTGCATACACTAAAGCGTGTATAACGACAACGCATGTATCTGAACGTATTTACGAAAATTTATATTATAAGGTAACATGTAGCATCTATTCACCTATTGCAAAGTGTTATTGAAACGCAGGTGTTAAGTTAGGGATGCTGAAAGTGAAGAAATATACCGATATTTATGAATTTATCAATATCGGCCTCGATATATCGATGGGGAAAAAACTACCCTGTTGCCGAAAAAATTAAACGAATGCCTAGTATTAAATATTTGAAATGAAAAAATACTGAATGTTTTATATCGATATATCGGATCAAAATATATCGGCTAAAAAATATCCGATATATTCAATAAAAAATATCGATATATTCAATAAAAAATATCGATATTTTTCGGCATCCCTACGTAAAGTCATTAACGACCGAATCCAAACGACATAGATCGGGCAGCATGCATACTTACGTGAACGAGGCCTTAACGTAACGTGACCACGCCCTACAGATAGCCGAGTCTGTGTCCTGGCAGAGCCCGGAGCTCGATTTCAAAGAGCGCGGCGCGTTCAGTGAACTGGAAGTGACTATCCTCGAGAGTGACCATTTCAAGCTCGACCGGGCTTACCCCGGCGAGGGCTCGAGCCGCCCCCGGCAAGAGCATTTCAGCCGCGACCCTAACTCCGAATCGACTAAGCGGGAACTGCAGAGGTGAGCGAAAGATCTGGTACACACACACGTTTTGATAAAGTTGATCTACTGATTATCTTTTAATCAATGATTTAAAATGTTCGATTAATATTCACGGACTAAAATAATCACTTTGAAACCTCACTGCAGCATATATTACCAGATTCATGTCAATCTTCAAACCATTAAAAGCGTAATTGATCCCGATCCTGACGGAAGATAAAATCAAAATAATATGTGATATATCAATTTTCCATATATAATTCTATGTTAAATTGTATGTATAATAAAAAAAATGTGTCTTACTTCTTCAGGCGGTCACTTCTTTAAGTGTGAAAGATATGGAGTGATTTAAAGAATAAATGATTGTTTGTGAACTATTTAGATTCTTTAAATTTTAAAAGAGGCAATGATATACATACAAATTTTCTCGTCATTGCCTCGAAGTCTTATCATGGCTCAAATCAAAACAATTTCAACTTCAGAAAGCTCGTTAGGATTCTGTAAGTTACTATAGTAAAGTAAAGTAAGTAAAGTAACAACCTATACATGTCCCACTGCTGGGCAAAGGCCTCCTCTATATAGAGGGTATCAGGGCAAGTAAGTTACTATATATATATAATAACACAGTATAGATATATATATATATATGTAATTGACTGTGTTATTTTTGTATGTCGGATCCAAATCATTACTTGGATCAACGTTCAATAACTTAATCAACTCGTATAATATTCGCATTTTGAAAGCCTCAGATCTAACTCTAACCTAAGCTCCAATTCGCATTGGAAACATATTACATATTCCTAAAATGAAAAATATGTTTTAAAGTATTTCCTTAGCCTACAGCATTTAGAAAAGCGATTCTCAGAAACCCCTTTTACGCACCTGTCTCATAAAATTTGATATAACTGTTTTAGCAATTTAAGTACTATCTCTAGTAAGCATAATAATCATATTTTTTTTACATCTTTCTTTATATTTTTAAAACTCCTACTTTAACATAAGTTTTTTGTCAAAAAATATACATTTATTTTATTGAAATAATCCTTTACTTTTTAATGAGTGTTGTACATAGCTATAAATTGATATATCAAATGCTGTATATACTATGTTCATTTGCGTCTTATATTATGAACTAGCGACCCGCCCCGGCTTCGCACGGGTGCAATGTATTATCACTACATAGTATAAAACTAAGTCGTCCCGCAGTCTGTCTCGTTACCAACGAGTGGTGACTAAATAAATAAATTGTAGGTACACAATGGAGCCACCGTCGAGCAGCCAGTTCGCCATCAGTTGTGTCGCGACCATTTACGATATCTATGCGAGAACGAGCGACGTCATACACGTCAAGGAGGACAGCCCCCACCCAGCTTCTGTGACAGGGGAGGATTCATCTGGTAAATGTAATCATGTTTCTTATCTTTTGTCGATATTCCAAAAACAAGTAAGTCGGTGTATTTTTTTTTAAATGAGCAACAACTACAAAAAATATAATAAATCACAAATCAATTCAGAAATATCCCAACATTCTATTCTCCAAGGGCAGGATTTTACAATGTCAAAAAGGTTCAAAACCTCTAGAAAAATCTATAAAAAAAATGTGTTTACACATTTTTTATAAATAGATCAGAGCTGTATTAAAAGTTTCAGGTATCTATTACATCGGCAATTTTTACCCATTGCAAAGTTAAACCACCATATAGTGACAGTTGCACGAAAGTGCAGGCTCTTCGGGCGAAGTATCACGGCACAGAAGACCGGCGAGAAGTCGAAATATTATACTTTCATGTTTCGTCTGGTAAGTGAGGTAACCAGGGCCCCTGTTAAATAGGTTGGCAACGAATCTGCAAGCCGCCAGGTGTTGTAAAATTCCATCAGCGGTGGTAGTCACTTAAAATCAGGTTAATTGCCCACTCGTTTGCCAGGTTTTGACAGTACAAAGTCCACGACCTCTTTGAGTGTTTAAGTCCGTCTTTAAGTTATGCCTTCTTCAGGTTTCAGGGCTCATTGTAACGCCGTGCTAACTTGTATCTGCGCATTCCTGACCCTGCTGCGGCCGTTATGACCTGCGGAAGCCGCGTTCAGGCGCACAATGTAAACTAAGGAAACTGAATGTTGTGATAGATAATAATAGTCGAGGTCGTTCACACAGGCTCGCTGTAAGAGTATGGAAGACCCTAAGTGTCAATTCGCGAGTCAAGATTTTGGCAAACAAGTTTGCGCAACAGCTGGAACCGCTATTTGCCGCATCATGCAATAATTTATTAATAAATAACGTCGTTGAAGTAACGAATTCTATTAATATTAGCCTTTGTATGAAATCAGGCGTGGTGGATACTAGCAGTGAATTATTTCTTCACATGGCATGAATTGACGGAAGACTGACGTTGAGTTAAAGCATAGTTATGCTCGCAATAATTATGCATTTACATTTCATACGTTGGCTTAGCCAGTCTCAATATCCTTACGTCCGATATGTAACCGAACAGACTCGCTGGTACCTTTGCCAAGCTATTCGCTATGGCGTCTATGGCCGTGGGTTCGATTCCCACACGGGACAAGTATTTGTTTTACCCGCAGATAATTAATTGTTCCGGATATTGGTGATTGTTTTGTTTCGTAACAAATCTAGCCAAAACCGCTTATGATATATTATAAGGGCAGGAGGATGATAACTGAACACACTCTGGTACCGCAGAACTGATACGGGCAGCGATAGTCTCCTACAACAACCTTCTTCTTCTAGAAAGTTACCTTGACATTGTGTGAACTAGTCGTAAGACTCGTATTGAATGTTACAGATTGCTATATGTAAATAGACTCATAAGTTAACCATACGTGTTGTTTATTTAAATTGTGATTATTAAATGAATATTAAGAGTAAGTGCATTGTGAAAATATTGTTATGGAAATTAATGTTTGTACAATAAAGCATTGATTTGAGCTGATTATCTATTGTTTCTTTGATTGTTCTCCAATGAATTTATAATGTAGCGTTGATTGGAAGATGGTTCTGAATCAAACTTCATCAACAAATCAAATTTCAGGAACAATTGTTTCTTTATGACGTTTATAAATTGGTTTCCTGTTATGAAGTAAAAAATTAATAGCTTCCTTTTAAGACCTGAAGACCAGTCAAAGAAATATGATGATTTAAACGATAGTAAGAAAACAAATTGAAGACTAACATGACCTTTTTTGTCTTTTCACAAGTCATGCTACTTTTAGGTTGTTAGTTTTTTTGGATTCCGTACCCAAAGGGTAAAACGGTACCCTATTATTAAGACTCCGCGGTCTGTCTCTTTGCCTGTCCGCGTGTCACCAAGCTGTTTCTCATGAACCGTAATAGTTAGAGAGTTGAAATTTCTTCATTCAAATTCACAGATGATGTATTTCTGTTGCCGCTATTACATCAAATCCTAAAAAACGGTATAAAAAAATTTAAGTGGGGCTCCCATACAACAGATTTTTTGCCGTTTTTATAGATAATGGTACGAAACCATTCGTGCACGAGTCCAACTCGCACTTGGCCGTTATTTTTCTGTACATAAGTCATGGTACTGTTAGTTTGTTAGCTTTTTATTTAGAAGTATATTTAAACGCAAGCCAGACGTTCGCCCTCCTATTATTTTTAATTGAATACTCAAAAATTCATGGCTTGGTCCGGTCTTACGTTTAGGTGTTGTAATTGGCACTTAAGTTTTTATAAGACATAAACGTAAGATATATTTTTTACTAAGAGACTCGATTATAGGCCTATATTACCTTAAAATGAAATACTTTTGTGATTTCCAATATAATTACATCATTGTCATTGAATAATAACGTTTTTATACAATAACTGAAAATATGAATTTAGGGTACATTGATATTTATTGTTACCATTTTTGCGACTCCATATCAGAAAGATAATAAAAAGACTAACTAAACTAACGAGGTTCCGCCATGGTCTTGCGAGTGTCTCTCGTGTATCCCTTGATTGTCCGTATATTTCCCTCGAGTATCAGCAGAGTGTCTCCCTAGTATGCCTCGATAGTCCCAAATTACGTTTACTCGGTAACTACGCATAACTAATTAATGAACGAATGAATGAATGAATAAATGAACGAACGAATGAATGAATGAATGGATACACTTATGTCCACCACAAATGAAAGTATACATAAAAGTGACAATAGTACAAAAAATTCATCCAATGTACAACTTGGCAGCCGTATCGTTTCATAGCGATGTCTAACGCGTATCTGCGAGTGCGTGGCGCCTCCGCCATTGTCTGTGGAGTGCCTGAAGAGTGACCCCCGAGCTTCCCACTATGCCTGAGTCTATGTCTTTGAATGTCTTCGAGTAATTGAATGTTATTACATAACAATGCATCAATCTGGAGATGCGCTATACGCTATACTCTATACGCGCCAAAAACACAACATGTGGCTCAACAATGAAAATGCTGTACAACTTTAAGAAGACACAAATTACTAACTAAGAAAGATAATAAAGAACAGGTGGTAGTGAAATAAATTTCAGTCTTTCAGAAAAAAAGTCAGGCATAAATGCGTAGACTTTTTGATATGGACGAGTATGATAAAATTATAAGTCCAACTGTAACTGGATAGGACCGACCAGGTAAACATCACAACCTCACAGAAGACCGACGTGCAGTGGGATTGTTACACTTCCGCCTTTCGTCCGGTGAGTGAGGTAACTGGGGGCCACTTTATTAAAAGGTGCAGCGCTCAGTGACCCTATGGATGTTGTCAATTGACTGATTAAACATGAAACCATCTTATCACTTAACATCAAGGTCCCACAGCTCGTTGGCCACCTTCTCACATAAAGAAAAGTTCACAGTGTAATGAATAAAATCTATACCATTGTCGTATACAAATATATAAAAATCCGTAAGTTATATTCACAAAACTCAAAAACTAGCTGATGTGTACACTTGATATTTATTCACAACATAGCTATAGAATAGGAGAGTGTTATATATTCCAACTGTTCCATGTAATTTTGTAATATATTTATAAACTGCATGTATTCCGAAGTACCAATGGAAACGAAAAAAAAAGAGAACCAAAGCGTAGCCGGATTCAGCTAGTAAATAATAAAAATTTGATGACTTGTTTGGGGCGGCCGCTACGAGATACAGTACTGCACCATTGATCGTGGTTTCAATTCAATGGGAAATTCAAATTCTAAATATCATTAATCAAATAGACGCTTGCGAGTTCTTATGAAACGTCGAAATTTACATAATAATAGATACATAAGTAAGTTACTACCGGTCGGAAGGCAGTTTCTATTGCGAAGAGACCGGCAAGAAACTGAACAGTTACTTTTTTAAAAAAAGATCAGATTGCAATATAAGGTATATATAAGGTAGGTATAATATTCTTATTTTAGCCTACGTGTGTGTCAACAGTATTATCACCACACATTGGCATCGTCAAGATATTCCACAATGGTATAATATGCTTTAGCCATAAATATACTTTTAATTCTGCGTTTAAATTAGTCAAGTGGCAGACTCAATATCGAATGTGCGATTTTATTATACATGCACTCACTTTGTCCCATAAACGACCTATTTACTTTTTGTAGGTATTTGTATGGCCTGGGTAATAGTTTATACTCGTTTAATTTGTCTTACTAACTTCCAAAGTAACACAGTATTATCGTTCTGTAGAGTTAAAAAATAATCAGATCATGACATAATCGAAACCCAAACATGTATGTAATTTTAATTGGTACTGTATCAATTTCGAGGAGACTTCCATTGACTTCAGCGAACACTTCAGTGAGTAATTCCCACTAGTTTTAGATTCAGCTTTTAATACATGTTCGTTAATAAGTAGTCGAGATATGTGATTAAATATCATTTGTGACTAATTTCCAGTCACAGGTCTGCTGGAAGAAATTCGTAAATAAATAAGCAGGGCCATTGTACCTATCTCTTCACTTAATTACTTATCTTTCATATACTTTGTGTAAATAAAATATAAATAAAATAAAGTGTATCTTCATGCCTTTCAATGTTCTCTTCAAGTCCACTCGCCGCGAGAAAATAAAGGTAAGAACAAAACGATCAAGCAGAGATGTTGATATTACACTAGTTATACTACTTAGACAATAGTTATAGTACAAAAAATTTGTATTTTGTATCTTATCTGAAAACTTACGTAGAGGCCTCAAAAAACTACATTTATTTATTTTATTTATCATTTAACGTTTGGAACACAAATGTTATTCTAAAGAATCTTAATAAACTTGAAAAGTGTTTTTTTTAAGATTATTTTTATTTTTCTCTGCACTCAAGATGAAACTTTAAATTGTAAATTTTTTGTAGATAAATGAACAACCACTTATCTTATTTGGCAAACGTCTGGGCGCGAAACCAGAAGACACAAGTACAAATCCCGCAGCTCCGAAAGCTTTAGTTCATTTATCTACAAAAATTTACAATTGAATACTGTTTATCATTATGTTACGGTCATTTATAGTATTATTTATTTAGAACTTAATGTACTAAAAAGACTTGATACAAAGGCGCACTTAATACGACTCGTATTTTCTGCTAGCCGAGATCGGTGCAAAAATAAAATAAATTAATACTAAATAATAAATTCTACTTGTATTATAACATACTTTGCAGGATAACTGGACGAGCGCATGTTTGTTCTTGCAGACTGAAAACCCAAACACCCTTTATACGCAGTTTTAATTTCAAGTTCTAGGTAGCAAGTTTTTTTTTATGTGAAAAAGTTGCAATCGAGCTGGCGGTTCACCTGATGTAAAGTAATAACCGACACCCATGGACCCGTAGGGTTGCAAATGCGTTGCCACCTTTAAATAAAGTGGGCCCCAGCTACCTCTCTCACCAGAAGAAAAGCAGAAGTATAACACTTCTACTTTACGCCGGTCTTCAGTGAGGTCGTGGTAATTACCCGGACGGACGTGCCCATTCGTGCAACAGTGAAAACTGATGTCCTACTACAGTAACAAGATCCATATGGAACAAGGCACGTATTGCTTATGTGTCCTATACCCGATATACAAATGTAA